CCCAAGGTATAAACAAATTATTTGATTTATGTGGGTAAAAAAAATGAAACAAAAGATTTAATGATCACAAGTATGATGTCCGACACAACAATGTAAGATGAACAGAACTTGTGGAACTATAATTTCGACGAACATCTTAAGGTGCATATTCTGAAAAAATATCCAGAATACACCGCCATTTTGGACTGTAATTAGGATACTTGCATATGCAAACTATTAACTTTTTACCCCGTGAGAATAAACAGAATGACGAGAGAGTTTCATAAAATCATACTTATTATAAAACTCAGGTTGTGTGTGTGTGTGTGTGTGTGTGTGTGTCTGTTTCGTTTATATATTGGATCGGATTTCCTACATTTTTCAACCGATTTCAACAAAACTTCACAGGACCACGTAAAATTACCTTGCGGTGGTTCTGACAGCGCCAAAAATTCGAAAAACACAATTTTTTTTGTATGAAATCAATTTGAAAACACGATTAAGAGGCATCGCTATCTTGAATGGAAGGTGGACAACTCATATCGCGTTATACTTATAAAACCCAGGTTGTTTGTGAGTGTGTCTGTGTTCGTTTATACATGGGATCGGATTTCTTACATTTTTCAACCGATTTCAATAAAACTTCACTTTTTTTTTGCAGGTAGTGTTTCTTATTGTTTCACTTTTTTCTTTATTTTTACATTCAGAATGCTTTAAAAATTCTATTTATAAGACAATTGTTTATAATAAAATTCTATTCAATCGGTAGAATCATAACGATTGAAAACAATGCTATTGTTTGAGTTTGGGTTTGACCAATTCGTAAAAAAAAAAAAAACTAATTAAGACATGCATGTCTGTCAACCTTAAAGAATAATCTTTGTCAATTTTATTTTTCAGTCTTTATGATGGTCGATACTTGATCTATCTCTTACTGTTACATCCCCGGGCAACGCCTGACTCTACTGCTAGTTTATAATAAACTGTTCGATTAATTCCTCTTAGTAACCAATCAATTCGCACACTCCCCATTATATCAGTTTCATTCCATTCTACGGGTTCGATTTGGGAAGGGAACCCAGCTGCATCCAAACCTCTTTTGATGATGTCGTTTATTACTGCATGCCGTGGAAAGCAGCCGGCATTACGACGACAGGAGAGAGGATGCAAACCAAACTCATCGATAGAAGCTCCACATCTGTATCTGTGACGCTCACATAATTTGAGTCCAAGACAGATCGCAACTCCGACCCGAGTGCACTCATCATCTAGAAGGGTACCGGTAGATGAAGCGGGAACAGCGTTGAGGCGCCATTACTCGGTTATGAAGCAGATAGTAGACAGGCGAGGCGATGCTGATCCAGAGAGAGCTTCAAATTAGTAAAATTGGCCGAGCATTTTATTTTATCCTAGCTTTTTTGTTTTGATGTGTCTAGTGGGATAGAAAGTAATTCTTGGGCCCAGAAGCTGCAAGTTTGTTCGAAAGAACTACCCAAGAAATACTGAGATGATCCACCGAGTATCTCAACAATTAATTCGCGACTGGAAGAAAGTAAAGAAAGATATGCTGGAAGGGCCAAATCTACAGCTGATCGAAGGCCCAGACCTCTGAAACTCAAAGGAAGCTTTGTCTGCCTCCAGCCTGTATCGTCGAAATTAACGTCGCAAATTAGCTCCGCGCATCTCTTAATTGTAATATCTATCTCATTTAAGAAATCCTGTTCGTGGTAACAAGGGGCACTTCGGAGAGTGTAGGGCAAACTCGGTAGCAAAAAACGGTTCTTCAAGAGGAAGAGGGCTGGGTGTGCATCAATTAATTGCAATTTCTCAGTCATTCTTGTTAGAATGACATGCTTAGTATCCAAACACTCTCGAATGGCCATTGAAAAGACTGGAGAACCAAAAATAGGCAATTCCTCCTTAGATGTTATTTTTATATCCTCAAGGATGAGTCTAATATCCCGGATAGCACTCTCGAAATCATCTGCACTATAATTCGAATTTATTATCTCTGACTTGGACGAGTTAATCTCAAATCCAAGCAGAGACAAAGCAGAAATCACTCATCGGAGGTCAGCAGCTACGGCCTCGACGGATCTTCCCGAAGTTGCATCGTCAAGATATCATATATTGAAAGGAGAGGCGATGGAACGAGCTACCCCGTCAACAGCCATTGCAAATAGTAGCGGACTAAGTGGATCACCTTGCTGGATTCCAGTAGCAGAAGAGATATTATTATCGGAGGCGATCAACATACTTGGATGACTATACGAAAGATGAGCCACTTTAAATATGGAAGGAGTCCATTGATGGTAAACTTCCAGGGCATGATCCCTTCTGATGCTATTGAAAGCGTTTTTCATATTCAATTTTAATAAGATACGGAAGGAAACAGGTGATGTATTCTCGAAAGATGATCTTGTGGCATGAACCGCGGCTTCACATCCGCCCTGTATGCCTACCCCGAGCTGGACAGGTCGCAATTCATGTCCTATCTACTTTACAACAACTCTACAAGCAATTTTTGCCGCGAGTCGACGAAAAATGTTACCAACAGCGATAGGGCGGATACATCTGTCTTTTTTTTAAGCCGTTAAGTTGGCTGAAAGTATTAAGTCGTGAGCATGTTGAGGTATCTCAGCTCGGATTAATAAGAGCTGTTATAGATGTTTTCAAATGTTCATCAGCTTCGACAGTGTGGGCAGAAATTAAGTCCTTCATGTGACCAGGTCGAAGGCCGTCCACACCTCGACTGCAGCTTCCCGAGAAGGACTTCAGAGCGGCAACCATTGCATCCTTTGAGATTTCAATATTTGAATCATTGTTTTCCATCTGAACAAATCTGACATTTTATGGTGGCGCAGGATGTTTCCGACGGAGCGCTGTGAGAACTTCTAGTGTAGTAGCTAGTATAGTATCGGGTGAGGCCAATACTCTAACTGCAACTGAGACAATGAGACATTACCCTCGATCAACTTAGCATTGACGAGGGCACGGAGTTTCTTAGAATCGTCGACTGTAGATGAAGGATGAAATCTATTAGGATTAGAAAGATTATAAAATTCCGTGGCATTTATTTTAGACGAATTGAATAAAGAAATGTTATCTTTCATAATAGATGAGACAGATGATGTAGGGTCCTTATTGCAAGGAATGCCGCGCACAAGTGTTGTGGAAGAGAAAAGGTGATCCCAGTCAAGTGAGCTGTTCAAGTGCATAGTTTGTGGCAGTAGCCAAGGCATCGGCTGTCGGAATTCTGACAGATTTAGGGATTTTTTAAAAGGCACTTCTTCTGGAATTGCCTGAGGAGACAGACAATGTGAACAACTCCAAACAACCAGAGACGCTGAAGCATTTCTAGTCAATCCCACGCAAGATAAATGAAAAGACCGTTGACAATTTGAACAACTTCTGATTCTTTTACGTTTATTAATGCTGTCACAAGAAAAGCAACGATCAGATTCCAGCAAAGAAGAAGGAAGAGACATTTTTCTTCTTTTTCTTAAAATTAATGTAAAACGTTTTTCTTTTAATTCTTCTAATCTCCGTTTGACATTAATTTCATTTTTTTCCTTTGAAATTAAATCTTCGAAAAAATACAGTCTTGAATTACAAATCCTTTACAATAATGTTTAAAGTTTCCAGCTATTAATTCAATAATGATTATTCCATTTACTATTCAAATTCGTATTTACCTTACTTAAATCTGCCATTTTTACATTCTTAAAAACCTGTTGAAACAGAAGAAATTTTTAAAAACCGTCTTCTCTTTCCGAATACCAAGCGTTCAAAAAAAACAAAAACAAAAAAAACAAAAAAACCCCAAAAAACAAAAAAGAAATTGAAAAATTACGTCAATTACTTTATGTTTGAAGAGAATATTTTCACGTGTGGAAATATTGTTTGCATTGTTGTGTCGACAGATTCAACCATTTCTTTTGATTTCTTGATATATTTGTTGTGCACGTTGGCTTGGGAGAGTAGTGATTCAGTTAGGAGAGGTGATATTGGGGAAAAAACCAGGGCGTAGATTCATATTTGGATAATATTCAATGGTGCGGCACACTCGAAGATTTTCCTTCTGAGCGAATTATTTTTTCCGGGTTGATAGTCACTCTTTAATATAATCTTTAATATAATATGGTAATTCAATGCATGCAATGGTATATATATATATATATATATATATATATATATATATATATATATATATATAGGCAACACAGTATTTCTCCATATCTCTATTTCTCTCCTTTAGCCGACACCTTCTTGTGTTTTTTCGTTTCTGTCTTCGTTCTCCTGAATAACTTTTTAAAAGTACATCTGTACCCAATCCACATCTAAGACCAAAGAAACTTCGCTCGAAGATATAGGCAAAGAAAATGAACAGGCAGTTTCGGCATGTATCCATTTTTTATAGCCTCCTGTACACCGAAACGAATATATATATATATATATATATATATATATATATATATATATATATATATATTGGTAAGTATGTTGCTGTAATTAGAAAAGAAGCCAAGCTGGTTGCAGGTGAAGCATAGTACTAAGAAGAAGAAAAGCTTTTGCTTTACGCTTCAATTGCAACCAACTTTCCTGTATACCCGCCCACGCGAGAGCGTGAAATATTAAATGTTTTCGGTTAGCATATAAGTGAGTCAGAGAGCATTTCTGTTTCTGTCTGCACACGGATCCCTCCTCCCCCACACTCCCACCCGGAAACAACTGCAACGTTTCAAGTACCTTTGGACTTATGGACCTTACAGAAGTTAAGACGATATAGTATTGAACAGGTCTTAATGAGATCCACTGTTCAATTTCTGCTCTTGGAAAAAAAAAAAACTACAGCGGTGGCTTTTCGACATATGAAAGCATGGGCGACGCTCATGTCACTGAACAATCCATTTTATTTATGTAAGTGTTTAGAGGGCAATGAATTACGGAATGTGTAGCGGCGAATCTCTTTCACGGAATTAATTATTCGTCTTGTCAATAGACTCGTTGAGTGTCGTAAGTCAACTGTTGTCCGCGAGGATTTCCTCAGTAGATAAAACCTCATCCGAGAAGAACTTGTTCTGAGAACAATAATTTGCACCAAGGAGAAGAAATTGTTTTGAAAAGAAGAATTTGTTCCGAGAAGAACTTGCTCCGAGAAGAAGTACTAGTTCTGAGAAGTAGAAATTGTTCTGAAAAGAAAAATTTGTTCTGTGAAGAAGAATTTGCTCTGATAAGAAGAAATTGATTCGAGAAGAACTTGTTCCAAGAAGATGAATTCGCTCTGAGAAGAACTTGTTCTGAGAAGAAAAATTTACTCCTGAGGAAGTTGTTCCCAGAAGAACTTGTTCCGCGAAGAATACCATGTTCTGAGAAGTATAATTCGTTCTGAGAAGAACTTGTTCCGAGAAGAAGAAATTGTTCCGAGAAGAAGGATTTATCCGAGAAGAAGTTGTTCTGAAAAGAAATTGTATCGTGTAAAAGAATTTGTTCCAAGAAGAAAAACTTGTTCCAAGGAGAAGAATTAGTTCAGAGAAGTACTTTTTTCCGAGAAGAAACATTTGTTCCGAGAAGAATAATTTGTTCCAAGAAGAAGAACTTGTTTTTGGAAGAAGTACTTGTTCTTAAAAGAAGAACCTGTTTTGAGAAGAAAACTTACTCTGAGAAGATGAATTTGCTCCGAGAGGAAGAATTTGTCCCGTGAAGATAAATTTGTTACGAGAAGAGGTTGTTCCAAGAAGAAGGGCTAGTTTCAAGAAAAAAAGCTTGTTCTGAGATGGAAAAATTGTTCCAAGAAGAAGGGTTAGCTCTGAGAACTTGTTCCGAGAAGAAAACCTTTCCCGAGAAAAAGAATTTGGTGCAAGTCGAAGATCATGTTCCTAGTTCCGTGTTCGAAGTTGAAGATCTTGTTCCTAGAAGTAAAAACTTGTTCTGAGAAGATGAATTAGCTCGAAAACGAAAAACTTGTTCCGAGAAGATAAATTTGGTCCCAAAAAAAAAAAACTTGTTCCGAGAAGATGACTTTGCTCCAAAAAGTAAAACTTATTCCGAGAAGATGAATTTGCTCTGAAAAGAAAAACTTGTTCCGAGAAGATAAATTTGCTTCGAAAAGTAAAACTTGATCCGAGAAGGTGAATTAACTCGGAAACGAAAAACTTGTACTGAGGAGATGAATTTGCTCCGAAAAGATGAACTTGATAATCTAAGATGAATTTTCTCCGAAAAGAAAAACTTATGCTGAGAAAATGAATTTTCTCTGAAAAGAAAAACTTGTTCCGAGAAAATGAATTTACTCTGAAAATAAAAACTCGTTCTGAGAAGATGAATTTGCTTCGAAAAGAAAAAATGTTCCAAGAAGATGAATTTGCTCCGAAAATAAAAACTTGTTTCGAGAAGATGAATTTGCTCCAAAAAGAAAAACTTGTTCTGAGAAGACGAATTTGCTTGGAAACGAAAAACTTCTTCCGAGAAGACGAATTTGCTTCGAAAAGAAAAAGTTGTTCCGAGAAGATAAATTTCCTTCGAAAAGAAAAACTTGTTCCGAGCAGGTGAATTTGCTCGGAAACGAAAAACTTGTTCCGATAAGATGAATTTACTCTCAAAAGAAAAACTTGTTCCGAGAAGATGAATTTTTTCTGAAAAGAAAAACTTGTTCCGAGAAGATAAATTTGCTCCGAAAAGAAAACTTGTTTCGAGAAGATGAATTTGCACCGAAAAGATAAACGTGTTTCGAGAAGTTGAATTTGCTTCAAAAGGAAAACCTTCTTCAAAGAAGATAAATTTCCTTCGAAAAGAAAAACTTGTTCCGAGAAGGCGAATTTGCTCGGAAACGAAAATCTAGTACTGAGAAGAGGAATTTGTTCCGAAACGAAAAACTTGTTCCAAGAAGATGAATTTGCTCCAAAAAGAAAAACTTGTCCCGAGAAGGCGAATTTGCTCGGCAACGAAAATCTAGTACTGAGAAGATGAATTTGCTCCGAAACCAAAAACTTCTTCCTAGAAGATAAATTTGCTCCGAAAAGAAAAACTTGTTCCGAGAAGATGAATTTGCTCCAAAAAGAAAAAATTCTTCCGAGAAGAAATATTTCCTTCGAAAAGAAAAACTTTTTTGGAGAAGATGAATTTGCTCCAAAAAGAAAAACTTGTTCCGAGAAGGTGAATTTGCTCGAAAACGAAAAACTTGTACCGAGAAAATGAATTTGTTCCAAAGCGAAAATCTTGTTCTAAGAAGATGAATTTTCTCCAAAAGGAAAAACTTGTTCCGAGAAGATGAATTTGCTCTGAAAAAAAACCTAGTACCGAGAAGATGAATTTGCTTCAAAAAGAAAAATTTCTTCCGAGAAAATAAATTTCATTTGAAAAGAAAAACTTGCTCCGAGAAGATGAATTTGCTCCAAAAAGAAAAACTTGTTCCAAGAAGATGAATTTGCTCCAAAAGGAAAAACTTGTCCCGTGAATTTGCTCCAAAAAGAAAAAATTCTTCCGAGAAGATAAATTTCCTTCGAAAAGAAAAACATTTTTGGAGAAGATGAATTTGCTCCAAAAAGAAAAATTTCTTCCGAGAAGATAAATTTCCTTTGAAAAGAAAAACTTGCTCCGAGAAGATGACTTTGCATATCCATAAATACAACTGACACTGGTTTTCAGAATGGTCACTGAAAAAAAAAGATAGAGTAAGATGGCATGCAATGAATTATCATCTTGATACCAACAAAACGCTATATCTTACGCCCAGCAGGATCTAATGAACTCTCTAAAAAGTAATTTCTTTTTGCCTTTTTGCAAAGCCTTTGGAATTTCAAGGTTTTAAAAGATTTATATTAGGAAACTCATTCACGTTCATTAAGTTTCATGTATTTTTTCAGTACAGCATTAAAAGAAAACGGTTTTTTCCAGTCAGTTCCTGAGCTGAAATTTCATTCGTATGAAATATAGCAAAAATGGAGACAAGAACAAATCACAAATTATCTGTTTGTAAGTCGTGGTTAATGAGAAACTTTTAATTTATTAGAACAAAACAGAAACGAGGCTATTTCGTTAGTCACCACCAAAAGTTAACGTCTCTTCCCAGTTCCCCCCTGAATTGGAGATTTCTATGGCTGATGTTGAAAGTAGTGGAGCAATTTCTAGTCACTTCTCTGAGATTTTGAATTCAGAGATTTTTTTTTCTGCTAGACCATTTGCAAAGGTGAAAGATCCCAATCTATACTACTAATTATTCCATAGCGATTAAGGAGTAATTTAATTTATGCAGGTTCCTCCAAAGAAACGCGATACCTAAAGATTAAAATTAATTTTTAAAAATGAAAAATCTTTTTTAAAGCTTTTATTCAGTTTTAATTTCAAGATAATAGATTAAATTTAATATTTCTAATATGCAAAATACTTTGCTGTATTTCAAAACTAATTTAAATTTATTGGAAGAAGTTTTTTTTAAATCGCTAAAAAATAGCTGATTTTAGCGCCATTCTTAGCCATCTGTTAGTACAATGTAATTTTCTTTATTAAAAAAATCTTTCAGAAATAAAATATACTCTTCTGAAACTTTAAGGAATATGAGCTGATTTAATCTGCTTTGTTTAATTAATCTGATTTGAAACAAATTTTACTTTTTGTTTAAAATATCACAGAAATGTATTTTTTCATTCATGTTCACTTTTTAGCGAATGTGTGGAGGTCTATAAATTTATCCTTTTTGCAAAACCATAAGGTGAACTGAACGCAATACTTTCGGATGGAATTTGAACTTGGCTTTCAATTTACCCAAAGACTAGAATAATGCTGTGAAAAGTTTAAAATAAAAGATAATAATAGCAATATAGATCATAATCAACTTGTTGCCGTGAATTGTGCCTTGTTTGATTATCAACGAAGATTACTTTCAATATTACACACTCGTCCTCTTTGCCTGTTCAATATCCTGAATGTTTGGCCACATGAAATTAAATAGATCACTCGAAAGTCTTTGCACACAGCGACTTGCTATCAGCCGTCACTTTTGATCTCTATGACGTCAGCAGCATTGATTTCGCACTGATCCGCCCGCCATTGGCTATCCCGATTTCATAAATGATTATTACGATGATGAGTGGGTAGTCCTTCCGTTCTAGTGTAAAAAAAGATTCATTTGTCATAACTGACAATAAATAAAGCAGCCACTTTTTAAAAATATATCACTAATTAAATATTCACTACTAGTTTCTCCTAATTACCACCGTGGCATCCGACGTAACTGAACATTTTGAACTTGGCAGGGAAAACCTAGATTCATACATATTTTGTTTTCAAAGTTGACACAAAGTGCGACAGAAGAAAATACATCCAAGCGCGTGCGTACAATCAAATACCAACCTGCCAACATATATATATATACACAGAGAGAGAGAGAGAGAGAGAGAGAGAGAGAGGACGAGACTATTTGTAATGTCCTTGGAATCTTTAGATGTCTAATATGTTCTTTAAAAATAACAGACAAAATGAAAGTGAAATTAGATTTATGCAATATGCAACAAATACAATGAAACTTTGAACTCATGAAGTAAATTCTAAAAACATTTAAAACTTTAAATTTCAAAAAAGGTTAAAAGTTAATATTTCTAATTAAATATATTTAATTGGAATAAAATTTGCTTACATTTGCATTTTTCTCGTAATTAATACTTACATAGTCGTAAATATAAGTACAAAACGAAACTGCACAATTTTACGAAATTGCAAGCACACACACACATACACACACGCTATATATATATATATATATATATATATATATATATATATATATATGTGTGTGTGTGTGAATGAAAAGACAAGACTATACTTAGTTTTAGCGTTTCGTCATCCTACGGATTTTATCAAAGCAAATGTAATGATTTTATTTTGTAACAAGTTTATATTTGACAGTTACACAAATTTTTTAAATTTAAGAACACTCATAAATATTCATTAGGTTAACTGAAAAATTTAGGTGTTAGATTGTAGATTACGTGATATAGCATTTTCGAAAGGAAAATTTTTAAATTTAAAGACACTCAAAAATATTCGTCAGGTTAACTGAAATGTTTAGGCATTTAGACCTTAGATTACGTCATTTAGTATACTCGAAAAGAAAACACACACACACATACACACACACACACACACACACACACACACACACACACACATATATATATATATATATATATAGGGGATATTAACAGAATTTTTGGCTGAAAGTGATATAATGTTCGTTCTGTTTTAAGTTATAGTCACTATTGTATTAAATGGATCGCCAAGAAAGGAGACTACATTCAAAAATAAATATTTGTTGCAAAAAATGAATGCCCTTTTATCATTAAACTGCAAATTTATTGATAGGAGATCTACTTAGAGAATTAGAATCTACTGTAATTGAATAGGCTCTCACTGCATCCTGCGTAATCCGAGTGATTTCGCTAGAACCGAATCTGTGTTTCTAAACAAAATGGTATATCTCCACGGTGAGAGGAGAGACAGCTTTGGTGGCAAGATCTCATCGTTTTGCAATTGAAATGCCAAAAGATGTAACCGTAAGTTCTAT